CCCCGCACATTGACAGAGTTGCGGTCGTTCCTAGGCTTAGCTAACTACTATAGGAAGTTCATAAGGAACTTCTCTACTATCGCCGCTCCCTTGCGCASGTTGCTRAMGAAAGAGGCAATCTGGCAATGGGACAAAGAYTGTACGTCTGCGCTCAAGAAGCTAAAGCGCGCGTTAATAGAATATCTTGTCCTCAAAGTTGCAGATCCGTCTTTGCCATTTGTCGTCACCACGGACGCGAGTCAGTATGGGAWAGGCGCCGTGTTGCAGCAAGACGACGGCAATGGCTATAGACCCGTAGAGTTCATGTCCGCGAGGATGCCCTGTGAGAAGGACGCTACCTCCACGTACGAGAGACAACTCTACGCTCTCAGGCAGGCTTTAGACCATTGGAAACACTATATGCTTGGGAGGCACTTCAAAGTGTATTCGGACCACGAAACGCTTAGATGGTTAAAGACTCAGGCCAAGATGACACCTAAGTTGACTAGGTGGGCCGCAGAGATAGACCAATTCGACTTTGAGCTCAAGCCAATGAAGGGCAAGTACAACGTAGTTGCGGATGCTCTGAGTAAGAGATCAAACTACTTTGGAGCTGTAGTACACTATCTGGATATAGGGAGAGACCTGCAAGAGAAAGTGAGGCAAGCATATGCGCAGGACCCTATCTATAGCGACCTCCTAAAAAGAGTTAGAGAGGCCCCAGAGACTGAACCAGATTACCGCACTACAGACGGGTTGTTGTTTGAGAAGACTAATGTGTTTGACCGCCTGTGCGTTCCCAACADCGAAGAGATCTGCAGTTTGGTTTTAGGGGAATGCCACGATACTGAAGGGCATTTCGGTTGGCAAAAGACATTAGCCAACCTGATGCGTGCGTATACCTGGCSAGGGATGAAGAATGACTGCATAGAGTATGTCCGCAGTTGTAAAGTGTGCCAGAGAAAYAAGTCTACTACACGCGCRCCCTTAGGTCTTCTCARGCCCTTGCCTATTCCGGATCAGCCGGGAGACTCARTGTCTATAGACTTCATGGACACGCAAGTCAAGAGTAGACATGGTAAGAGCCAAGTCATGGTCATAGTCGACCGTTTTAGTAAGTATGCAGTTTTTGTTCCCTTGCCTGCAGAGGCACGGACAGATTTAGTAATACARAAGTTCTTTGACTTTTGGGTTAGTGAGAATGGTATCCCATTGTCAATAGTTAGTGATAGAGATAGTCGTTTCACCAGCCAGAACTGGCAAGAACTCATGAGAGTCTACGGATCTAAGTTGTTAATGTCGTCCGGCCGTCACCCAGAGACTAACGGTCAGACAGAACAAATGAACAAGGTCCTACAGCAAGTTCTGCGCATGTACATTAGACCACATCAGATCAACTGGGATGAGATGTTGCCCAAGGTCGCTAGTGCATACAACAACAGCTTGCACCTATCCACCTGCCGCACTCCCAATGGACTGCACAAGTCCTTTAGACCACGCAGACCGTTCGAAGGACTGAACCGGGATCAGATTCACAGATTACCACCCGGTTGCGATACAACACGAAAAGGAATTAGCCACTGATGTTGAGAACCTACGGAAGGCCCAGCACAGAATGATAGAGCAGGCTAACAAACACCGTCGCCCATCACAAATTCAAGTAGGCGACTTAGTCTGGGTCAAGGCAAAAGAGTTTGCACCGGAAGAAAACATCTCGCATAAGTTACTGCCTGTATATAGAGGACCGTGGCCGGTTCTAGAAGTCAAGGGCGGAGAGGATGGACCGTCCTATAGTAGTGAGATTCCAGCACACCTCCACACATACCCTGTGTTTCATGCTTCAAAGCTGCTGCCGTGTATCACTAGTCAACAGTTCCCTTCCAGGAGATCCATGATTCCACCGGGTATGGATGGAAGCTATGACATAGAGGGCATTGTAGAAGAGGATGTGTTTGGGACATGAGGTAGAGGTCGTCCCCAGAAACAGTATAAGGTCCGGTTTGCTTATCAGGAACCGGAAGACGACCGCTGGTTCACGAAAGCAGAACTTTTAGAGACCGCTCCCGACATAGTCAGGGCCTATGAGCGTGACANGTGTCTTGTCTCTTTCACAGTGACTGTCTCCTGTTGGTTGTTTTGCACTCCGCTTGCTACAGGTGTTCTTTCTTTTTCCTTGGGGAAGTTCTCACGATCGGCTTCGGCGTGTCTCGTCTCTTTCACAGTGATTATCTCCCATCGGTTGCTTTGTACTCCGCTTGCTACAGGTGTTCTTTCTTTTGCCTTGGAGAAATTCCCATTGTCGACTTCGGGATGTCTTGTCTCTTCCGCAGTGATTGTCTCCTGGAACAATTCCCACTCCACACCTGCATGGTCTGTGCCTGGCATCGTGAAAGGACGGGAGCGCATCGGGCTCACCGGACGGAGCTTGGCCTTCATTATCTCTAGCTTTATCTTCTTCCTTGAGGAGGATGATCCTTGCACCAAATCTAGTAGCAGAGGATCGAGTCTTGCGTACGGGCTTGGACACCCACGATTGCTGCATTCACCCCTACCGGTAGGTGACCGAGGGACGGACGGATTCCCTCTAAGGTAAGAGATTTGATCCATGACCTCCTGCCGCCATGCTTCTCTTTCCGGAGCAACAGGAAGGTCGAACAGCTTGTGAGGGCTCTTAGCCCACGATGCGAGCTCGTCAATCTCTATGTTGTTGCCGAACGCCTTTGCCAAATGCTGAGATCGTGAAGCGCCTGCAGCACCGGCCGCCCTCACCCTCCGCGTAGAAGGTTTAGCTGTGCGTGTTGGCTTAAAGCTTGCTCCCACGAACAAATCATGAGGAGAGCTGTAATCGTGACGCTCGGTCTGGGACTGATCAGGACTATATGTGTTCTCAAATTCCACATTTCCTCCTGTAGTACGAGCTGTCGAGAATCGCAATTCCTGATAAGCCTCTGTCTGAGCGGTGTCGATCTCGCCCGGCGACTTTGTCGTGGAAGCGGGACCTCCATTGTGACTTGACGTGTACAGAACCCGCTGCGGGGAGTGGATGGGCGGATTCCTATTCCTTCCCGAAGATGCGTGAGAACGCTGGGCATGTGTTCGATACATAGAAGGGTACGAGGCAGTGGTAGCTCCCTGCCTCCCATGATTGCGTATATAGTGCATCCCTGCCTTGTCATCCTTCCTTGCACTCTGCAACTTGGTATTCTTCATCGCGTTGGGAACTGCCGCTCCACTAAACTCTGCAGACGAAGGACCCTGGCCTGAGACTGAGCTTGTCGGGTTTTGCGTTAACTGCCCAGTTTCTGCATCTGTAATCCCAGACGTTGGGCCTCCCTCTATGGATGGATCTGCAGCTGTTTTGGTGTAGCTTCTCTTTGCATCCGACCCGTTCTCAGCTTCCAAACCTCGATAGCCACTTGAGGAAGCCTTCATCCGAAGATCTCCCAGTGGCTCATCTGCAGCACGTGCATCAACCAACATCATCACCACCATCAGAGTCAAAAATCAAAGTCAACAATAAGAGTGAAAAATCACAGTCAACAATCTGTTCGATAAATTGCAATATAACCACCACCATTCCACACTTGCTCCCACTCCTCACCTTCATGCCTCCTCCTCCTCTGTTGACCATCTTTATGCCTCCTCTTCCGCCTCTTCCTCCTCCTCCTCCTCTTCTGCTGAATACCTTCACAACCTGCTGCACCTACCTGGGGGAAGAGACTTACCCTCATTGGCGTCTATAAATACGGGTGGTCTTCATTGCACAGTGCCTCCGTCCCTGTCCAAGGTACAGACGGTGTAGGCACACAAACAACAGCATAGCGCCCACCTCCCTGTCTAAGGTGCAGATGGTGCAGGCTCGAACAACAGCCTGCCTCCTCGTCATTCCTGCCTGATACCTGTCTAAAGTGCCGGTCGAGGTCACCAATATCCACCTTGGCCACGAAGTGTGTTGCTTTGTTTCGATGGGTGGCAATTACCAAATTGGCTTGCTGTTGCAGGCAAGGAGTGACGAACCCCTCCCCTTTTCACCATGAGACCGTGAAACCTGTTGGACACATGCCATTGACCGGCCTTGGTCACCTCCGTGGGGAGATTGCACACAATCGAACTGGATTGGGGTGCTGACGAGTCCGCACCTCCAGACAGAGAAATTTGCTGCTCACATTTCCTGCGTTAATCCCCTTGATGTACCGGTCATCATTACATACCATGAAGTTCTTCCACAACTGCAAGAGGAGGAGGAGGAGAAGTGGTCACCACCATTGCGATTTGGGATCCTAGCCGGAGCTCATTCTTGGGCAAAGGTGCACTCTAAAGTAAAGACCGAGAATGTCATGCTCAGCAGGATTCTGAGGGAAGCTAGCGTGCTGAGCTGCCCATGTTAGTGTGCTTGCCGCATAGCTGTAGTTAGTAGTGAGTGTGTGTGTGTGCTCGAGTGTTAGAGTGATGCGTGTGGGATATCCAGGGTGATCCACTGTATGTGAACAGTGAGATGTTTGGGCGCTGAAGTCGCCATAGCCAATTGAGAGTGAACTCGTATCTGAAAGCCATATCTCTGAGTTTTGAGTGGGCGCATGTCGCCAGTATGYTGCGTTGCTGTTTACATGCATGAAAAGTGTGTTTGAGAACGAGTCTGATTGCACTGGAGAAGATAGATTTATAAGTTAGTGTTCTTGCCGATGCAACACCTAGTGTCCCAAGGTCCCAGTAGTGTCACTTTCTGGGAATCGGAGAGTTGCACGGTCCATGATCCACCCAATCATACCACTGTAGACGAAACGCCCACAGAGAACAGCTCGCACAGCCGCCAAGCATACCCCTAAAGATGCAGAGAAACTGCTCTGTCCTGTTGGGCCTAATCTCTGAAATGAATGGTCGATAATGCCTTTCCCAACCCTCTTTGTCTTTTCGGCCAAACATGGCCCCTGAAAAAAAGACACCTTTGAGTGCCTTGAACTGCCTTCTCTCTCCTTTTTTCTTTTGTTTCCTTTTTTTTCACCTTTGAGTGCCTGTTTGTTGTACAAAATGACTTCCAGATTGAAGCGAGGGTGTGGCGGTATGGGACGCGTGGAGCAACTCTGATTTAAAGCATTCATTGAAAGGCTTTGCCACACAATTCTCTCTCTATCCTGTCAGGATCTGTCTGTTTCGCAAAACACCGACGAGGGGGTTATCTCACAGGACGCCTCCGATATCGGATTTGGTTGCTGATAGGGACTGATTTGGTCGGAGTGGTGGCACAGCAGGTTCACCACCACAGATGAACACATATATTGTCTTCTTCTTTTGTCTTTCTTTTTTTTTTCTTTTTTTTTTTACAAAGAGCCCGTGTTCCTATTAGGAGGGGTGATATGAGAACTGCCCAGTAAACCGACCGTTGGCAGAGAGAGAGAAGAGGACAACAAACGAGGGGCTGTCACAAACTGTTTCCTCGGAGTTTCGCCGATTCATCACGAGGCTGAACCCTCTACAGTCTGCAGACTCCCCCAACTGAATGTACTGTCAAGTGATAATCCACCTTAACCTCGCTTGCGGTTAAGCTGCATCTAGATCTGTCTGCCGTAGAGTTTAGAATAGCAAGTCCCCTAACCAATGATACTGTAAGTGATAACCCACCTTCACCCCAATTGTGATCAAGCATCAAAGACTGCCCGACAAATACCATACTAGCCTAGTACTAGGACTGAATTGTACATCTGCTCAGGGAGCTCTAAACTCTACAGGCCACTGAGGCCAGAACAGGCGGCAAGATGCAAAGCGTGCAACGAACAAGAAACAGTGGATTAGTTTCTCTTTCTCTTGTTAATTGAACATGATTCTGCATTCTGTATATCCTGAGATCCGACCCAGCATGGAATCGAACCGGCGACCTCAAACTTAACAGCTTGGTGCCCAAACCACTGCAGCCATGGCACGGTGTTCAACAGTGGATCCGGCAACCATGCCGGTCGTGATATCCATCCCACCCCCTGCATGGCTGCCGTGGAACATCTCACTTGCACACCCATGTCACCCAACAATCTCCCTTGAGGCCTTCCTGCAGGTGGGCTCAAACAGCCCAAACGCAGCCACCGAGTCCAGGTATTATTTCCCAGCTAGTTACTGCGGTAGATACAGGGTCTGTATTTCCTGAGATTCGTCCTCTTGTTAATTGCCGGCTTTGCATCTCGCCGCCTGTCCTGACCTTTTCTCCATCTCTCCATGTCGTCCTCATCTGATTCCTCCCTCATTTTTCTCTGCCGGCCACCACCTTCGGCTTTCCAACACTTCTATTCCGTTTTCCAACACTTCTATTCCTTTTGTTACCGGATTCAGGAGCTCCTTGGCCCCCATCTGCCCCTCACCCTGAGATTTACCACTCCTTTTATTTCCTTCTCTAATCCTCACCCCTCTACCACCTCCATTCCCAGCCTCGTTGCCCGCACCCACACTAAACGCGAACTTGCCATTGCTTCCCATTTGCCCGCTCATGCCCCCATCTGCCCGTCTCTTATACACATCTAGATGTGTATAAGAGACAGCTCATGCCCCCATCTGCCCCTCATCCTGAGATTTACCACTCCTTTTATTTCCTTCTCTAATCCTCACCCCTCTACCACCTCCATTCCCAGCCTCCTTGCCCGCACCCACAGTAAACGCGAACTTGCCATCGCCTCCCATTCGCCCGCTCATATTCTGATCCTCCGTTCCCCGTCCAATGTCCACACATTCCTCACCTTCGCTACCCTCCGATCTTCCTTGTCCTCCCCAGAATGGACATGCAGCCAGGACCACAAGGCCCTGTTTGGGTGAAAAAAAAGAAAGCGAAAAAACAAAGAAAACACTGATCTAGTGCTTTCTCACACGTAAAGAGGCAAGGATCCTCGGTGGACGTCTGGAGTTTACTTGGTTGGGCAGAATTCTCTAACAGCGAGATCACACTGTCATCACAGTAAACGCACGAACCATTCTAACAGGCAGTCCCCAACCAACTGACTAACATGTTTTGAAGAAAACATCTTTTATCCAATTAGGGAGGAGGGGCCTTATGTGCTCCTTGGAGATGCAAGTGCAAGGTTAATTATGTGACAATGCATTCGTACGAACAGAATTCCACTATCAGAAATCAAGGTGGTGATAGGAAAGAGAAATCAGGGCTCCGCCATCTCGGGGTCCCTAGACCAGAACGGAGGGAAGCGCCATGTGAGTTTCCTTTGTTGTAAGTGACACTGGACCCGGTTTCAAGCAAACATAATGCAATGCTGTTAAAAATAAAAAATGAAATAAAATAAAATAAAATAAAAGCAGGGCTCAATGGAGGAAAACAATAGCCAAGGCAAAACCCGTCCTGAGAAAGTGAAATCATCAGAGAACGTTTCAAGGCAAATCAGCTGGAACTTGGCACAGACCTGCTGGGCAAAATAGAGGGAGACCGAATTAGAGGCTCGTCCACCGCTCACGACATGCACAAACGAGAGAAAAGGTGGCGGTGTATCTTTCCATGATCTAGCAAAAACATTCGTCCTCATTTTTGCACGTTCGGCGAGTTGTCGAGGAAGGCCCTTAACTTCAAAGAATGGATTGCACCATCTCCCAGAAGACTTTTAGTAGTAATAAAAAAAAAACAGCAACTCTTGAAACCGGAGCGTGCCAACTTTACAGCGTCCAAAGAAGGTTAAGGAGCAGAGGAAGAAATCTAACAACAATTTAAAAGAGCGAGAAAGGGAGTCGGAAAGCACTGTGTCTAGATCAATTTAACCCCTCTGCTATGAGAGATCAGTCCTTTTTTTCCCCACCTCACAGCTTCTGAATATCCTTTCGCCACCAGCTGCAGAGCCCCATTTTTAAAAAAAATACAGCTGTAGTCTCCTTTTTTTACAGAACCTTACGGTTCTGGCTCCTACCATTCTGGGGAGCAACAGTCCGGTTCCTATTCCCCCGGCAAGTTAATAATGAATACATTAGAGACGCACGCACGCTCCTCCGCATTATGGTTGAGAGGACCGAGTGAGCGGCATATTGACTACTTCCCTGGGGTAGGATCTACCACCCCTCACCCCTGCCTAAGTTAGCCTATTCCACTAATCGCTTGAACTACGGTGACTCCTCACTCTTGGATCCTCTCAGCTGAGTATCTGTCTGATTGACGTGGTAAACAAGAGCGAGTGTGAGGAGGTGGCTTCTACGGGCTGTATCGAGGCTTGTTCCTGTCGAGAGCTATTTCCTGCAGGCAGCTGTTCGTAATCTGTTCCTTTGTGCACTCCAGTGTGTCTCCTGTTCCTAATCAAAGTACAAAGGGTTCCCTGCCTAATGCCCCAGCATTCCTAGTTAATCCCGACTTCCCCATCCAAATCCCGATAAGGATTTTGAGGGTCCTTTGCGCATCGATCCAAAACCCTAAACCCTAGACCCTTCAGCTATTCCAATCTGTCTCCTGTTCCTAACCAAAGTACAAAGGGTTCCCAGTCTAATCCCCCAGCTTTCATTGTTAATTTTGACTTCCCCGTCCAAATCCCGTTAAGGATTTTGAGGGTCCTTTGTGCATCGATCCTAAACCCTAAACCCTAGACCCTGCGGCTATTCCTCTCCTCTAGGTTCTGGATACCTGTTCAGGTTGGGACTGCGCCCTTGCTTTTTCCTACGGATTGGCGGGGAGGTGAGCTTATTTTGGAGATTGGAGTTGTCAAACCGAGTCCTTTGTGGGCGTCTATGCTTGCACTTTGCTCTCTAACTCACACCTATTGAAATATCTGTAAGGTGGGTCCTACTTCTAGGGGCTTCTATCCCTTGTGTCCTTAGCTGGGTCTGTCGCCATTGTGCGAAACGCAGTTTGTCCTGGTCTATTCTGGCTATCCTACCTTCTCCTAACCGATGTTTTACGAATGATTCTATTATTTTGTCCTTGTTAGTGATATTCTCTTCTATTTTCCTGCAGGTTCTCTTCCACCGTCCTCTATACTCAACCTCTATCAGCTGCAAAACTCCTTCCCAAGCTTCTAGGAGTGACATGGTTGAGCGATCGATCGTTTCTTGGCATCTGCGCTTCCAAATCATCCATAAGGTCGCAAGCCTTAAAATGTGGAAGAAGGAAACTTCGAATCCTTGCCATGAGTTATGGGTGAGTAAGCCAAGTAAGAGAGCGGTCTGGTCCGATGGCATTGTTTTGTCAGTGATTTAGTGCCAAAGAAGGGAAGCTGATGTCCAGAGCTGTTTGGCTTTCTGGCAGCCTAGCAGACAATGTTCTATATCTTCTGGCAACCCCTCTGGACAAATAGCACATAGTTCCTGCATAGGGGATCTCAACTGA